AATATTTGTTTACTTTTGCATGACAATGTCACGTACATTTTCTGGTTCCTGCTCCTTCTGACGCTTCACTGAAGCTACTTTATTGTTATCATGGTATCTTATGGTTTTCAACATATATTTATCTTGTAAAGGTTACTATCTCTTCAATCTCTGGTCTGACAAAAACTTTTAAATAGAGATTTAAACAATGCTGCACAAAACACACTTCACTGACTGACCCTATGGGGTCGAACTGGTTAAATATGTTACATGAATACTTCATAAATCAAAGACTTGTGAATCCCTAGCGGCTGTGGATCGACTCTGGCTGAATGTGAAGCCGGGTCTTGGTGGCCAGGGCTGCCTTGCGGGTCATGGTGGTGCAGCGAGTCAGGATGTCCTCGGTTTTTGGTCTGGGTGGCATCCTGGGAGCCATTGAAGCCGTCTCACTTCCTTTGGAGCTCACAGATTCAGAGCTGTCAGAGCTAGTGTTGGAGCCACGGCGGTCAGAGAGGATGAGATCAGGGTTGATTCTCCCACTGTCACTGACACTAGGCTGGGGGGAAGCTGCAGGACTGCCTGTGGGACTCTCACACAGCATGTCATCTCTTAAACTTGAGGACGATTGGCTTTTTGAGTAGAAGCCGGAGAAGCTGATCTCGGTGCTTGTGTTGCTCTCGGTGCTTGTGTTGCTCTCGCTGCGTAAGCGGCCATCTGAGTTTGCGGCGTCCCTCTCCGCCTGTACTTGCGACCAGGTCTCAGAGAGGACGTCCAGAGATCGGGCCTTGTAGAGACGCCCGGCCACAGAATCCTGTTGTGGGCTGTTTTCTTCGTTGATGCCGGGTGGACGAGGACCCTGAGGTTCCCTGCTGGTTGCCAGGTTCAGAGTGGAACTGTGCAGCTTTCTCTGCAGGCTGTAAAGGCCTAACCGTGGGTTGTTGTATGGTTGCAGCTTCATGGAGGGGATATAACCTGCCTTGCCATTGAATCTGCAGAGAATGGCAAAAAAAGGGAATTTATTTCAACTTTGTTCAGCAATTGCCAACTATGTTAACTCGATTAAGTTCAGAAATTCATCACATTTCATCTTAATGCAGGAAGAAATATTTGATACCGGTGTTTGTCTGTATTTCATCTCTTCATACAAACACTTTGCTAACTGTCCACCTACACAATAGTGAGTTTGTTGTGTGTTTTCATGTGAAGATAATGAAGAGGCACTCATGAACACTTCACCACAACACTTTTTAAAGAGCTCCTTGTTCCTATTCTCTACTGTTTGCAATGTTGACAGATAAGATTGGGGTATACCTGATGAGCCACCAGCCGTTGTCAGACTTCCTCAGCACCTCCACCACAGAGCCAATGGGCACTGACACCTCGTCATCCTTCTTAGTTGAGTAACTCCTCACGGCACAGTACAGGGCACCTAAAGGTCACAAACAAGACAACAAGCTCAGGAACTGCTGTGCAGATACATACTGTCTTAATAAAAGTGAGTTTTGGTAGAAAGGAATAGATGCATGTTAACGTCCAGTGGTTAAAGAGAACTCAACAGTGGTAGTTGTTTTTAACAGCTAATCTTCATAGTAATATGAAGTAGATGCATCTGACATGCATTGATTTTCACAGTAATGCCAGATGATGTCACACCACTGTCAAGCTTACAAAGGTTCACTTCTGTAATCCAGCTTGTTAAATGAGATCAGTCTGTTCTACGTGCATTCTTGCTCATTAAACTCCAACTGTGACTACAAGCAACACACACCTGCAAGCTGGAATCCAGCATCATCATCCTCCTCTCCTTCCCATAACTCCAGGTAGGGAGCAGGAAACCAAGCCAAAAGCTTATCCTCGTTCTCCACCAGCCACCAACCTGGAGAGGAAATAAAACATACTTTCAGCATGACAGAAATTGTTTTGGGGGAAGCTCAAGGTGTTTGCTGCTTTTCAGGAAGGAACTGCATGAAAGTGAAGCACTGACCTGCAGGGTCTTTGATCAGGACATCCAGCTTCTCGTCCACAGCAACCTTAAACGGACGATTCTTGGTATCCTTTGTCTCGTAAGCAGCCACACAGCGGTAAGTCTGGGTGACAAACGGGTGAGTGACGCTGCCTGCATGCTGGCGAGTCATATCACCGCCTCCTCCACCACCTCCATCGGGCAAATCATCAGACATCAGGATCATGATGCTGTGTGAAAGAGAAGTCAGAGTAAGAATCAAGAGCTTCTATTAAACTATCACGTGACTTGACTTAAACACTGACATGACAACCTACCTGTTCTTGGTGAAGTCTGGCTGCAGGTCGTGGTCTTTGGGCATGAAGAACTGAGTCACCTCTGAGCTCTGAGTCACAGTTTGGTCGCACTTCAGCAGCTTGTCGCAGTAGCTCTCCAGGAACTTCATGCGTTGGATTGATCGCTTGGATCCTTTCTGCTGGAGGTTGTTCCTCCTGGCCTGCCCTGGAGAGAGGAGAGGAGACGGTTTCAGGATTAATATTAGATTTGCTGAGAAGAAGAACATCATTTTTAAAGCATTTTTCTTCAAACAGGAGGAAAAGCAAGCTAAAACAAACCATGTTTGTACAGATATTAAACTGTTTTGTGTGCTATTCCTCTAATTAATTGCTACAAATACACAGTTGCTCACAGGAGACCATTTATAAACACCTTGTAACACACAGTTGAAATAATCTTACCACTAAATTTGGGGATCACTCTGTCGTTTTTCCTGAAAGCGTTCATGTGAGGGAACCTCTTTTTCAGCTGCCTCTGTTTGGAGAAAAAAAACCACATCTGAATTAATAATTATTCCTACGATATAAACAGCAGACTGAGTACACCAAGTGGGAGTTTCTTTGGTCTTACATGAAATTTCTTGAAATTCTTGAAGGACCTGTAGACAATAACTTCAGTCTCGTCAGACCACAACACAGATATCAAGAGCATCTATGGAGAGAGAAAAATAAAAGATTTCAGACCAGAAACTTTACCACAAACACAGACATATTTAACACCTCACATAAGTAACAACTGAGGTCTTGACTCACCTTCATTTTTGGTGTGTCCCTGTGGACGGCTCCGATAATACGGGCACTGATTACAAAGCGTTGTTCACCGGCCATCGTCCACTTGTTTGTGTCTGAGCTCTCAGGATGAAAAGCTGCTCTATTGACCTTCAGTGTCTAGCTGAACTGCCTCTGCTGCTCTGCCAGATCAGAGAGTCTGCTGCGGTTTATATGTGCTTCACATAACGGAGGCGGAGTTTGACTGAGCAACATCTGAGGGCTGGAAAAAAGGATGCACACATGCAGAGAGGAGTGGTCAAACAAGTGTAGCTGGATCTTCTGGCAGTCAAATTAACATCAAAGTCAGACGTCATGCAGGAGAATG